GCAATGTCATAAAATTCACTGTTGGTGTATTGGTCAGGTGTCTTAATACTTTTGTTCATATAGTGTATATAATACTAAAATACTAAATAATAATGCATGAAAAAAGGCCAAATTAAAAAATGAGAAAGTGATAGCCAAAGAATCAAAACCAACCCTCAAATTTATTTTAAATACATAGGTTAAGTTCACGTTATATGCTGGTAATTATATTCATGCCACCTGGTTTAGTCTAATTGCTTATACTAATCTTGTTCTACGGCATTTCCCCAGTCAGCTACTGTATTAACCACTCAATTTTTTGCAAGGTATATATTGGTTTAGTCTCTTATATATTTACAACATTACCTTAGTCATTGTATGGCTCATGTGTATGGTAGATTCCAGATTATCAATTGTACATGGTATTCTTCCTCCATGTTATAAGGTATTTCAAGTTTGGACCCTTAGTGGTCTCCCAGTGATTGCTGTCACCTAAGTCTCTCCGCTCTTTACTAATTTCTGGTCACAGGTAAGTGGTCCTTCATTGTCTCTATGTTTACCACAAAATGGCATGGTCCACCCTACATATACATTCAACCGTTTTTCCTTCAATTACGATACAGGCTCATCTACGCCCTTTGTTTACGTATTCTCTGGCCAAGTATTAATACAGCATATTAATGACATTTGCTTTAATTTCTTTACTACGGTATACTTTTTGCCACTTTAAACTTTATTATTACACAACCATAAAATACATCTCATTCATGAAATATGTCAGAACATTAATCAACAAGGCCAGGCCTTAACCCTTCCATTATTTTGTTCACTCTTTAGGGGCGGCATCCATGGGTTCAAGCAGGTTTTTCCGAAACCAGTTCAAGAAATCCGCAATGCCTTTAAAGAAATGTCTGGATAAGATATATGTATATTGTTGACTGTAGTAAAATTGCATGAATCTATTTTGCCTTCTTTTATTTACAGGCCCTACCGCATTGTCGGTTCCGGCACACCACAACTGACTTGTTCTCGTATTCTAAACTTCTCTTATACTTATCTCTTACTCCATATATGGCCTTTTTGCCCCTAACACAAGTATTAAGGCCGTTTGGTCTGTAATTGTGTGAGGGGCTTGTGTTTTTCCTACTTAAAGGGAACCTTTACCTTACTCCACACTGTTCGTGGTCTAGAAATTTGCATTGCCCTCCCTCCACTCCCACTACTCAACATATCCTCATTTTTCCTGCCTTTACCCTTGGGTGGGCCCTCTTTTATTTACAGGCCCTACCGCATTGTCGGTTCCAGCACACCACAACCGACTTGCTCTCGTATTCTAAACTACTCTTATACTTATCTCTTACTCCATATATGGCCTTTTTACCCATGACACAAGTAGGCCTTAATGTTATATGTGAATAGCATAGGGAAATGTAGCCTTCCAAATTGTTGTATTCCAGGTTGGAAACCCCAAAACATGCCTTGAGTGTAGAAATTATTAGTTGATAATCTGAGGCAACTGATTTATCTAAATTGTATTTTAGTTTTATTTCGTGGAAAGAAATTAGGGAACTACCGAAAAAGAAATGATCTAGACTAAATACAGAGCTGGAACCAAAAAAATCAAGGTCTATGTGTGGTATATCATGTTTCAATATTGAAAATGGCATAGCCCTTGTAAGTACATATTAAAAAAAAAAAAAAATAATAATAATATTAAAGTGTAGGTACACTGAAAACAGAGATGAGTGTGTTTGTTAATAAAGACCAGCAAAAGGCAGAAGTTTTAAATAACTATTTTTCCTCAGTATATATTAAGGATGAACCTATGGTAAGAGATATGCATATTATTGTTGCAGAAAACTTTCACAAAAAATGTGATTAGATGACTCAAGACAAGGTTCAAGAACAAATGAAGAAAGTTTTTTTTATTTTTTTGTAAATTCTTTATTTGTGGTTCATGTGAATACAATATACATACATACACCAAAACAGTGCACATGGGCATAGAAATAAGATGAACAATTGAATAACGATACAAATAATGAGCATTGGTATCTGTCGGTTACGTAACATTTGCAAATGTCATAACAGCAATCATTGAGATGCAGGTAGGTTGAACAGCTGTAGGTGAGTGTGCATTTCTGAAGCTGAAGCCATAGCAATAATGACAAGCTAGTTAGTTAGAAACAGGCAGCTACATTCTACCAAACTTTAAAATTCTGCTGTAGATCTAAGCTTACTGGTCTGACGGAAAAGATGGGGTAATAAGTGTATTACTAAAAATATTAGACACTTGTAGCAGGGGAGCAATTGCGTCAATGAGTAATGATAGTTGGCACATAGGTTATGGAACCTAGTGTAGTGAATGATTTGCTTTATTAATTCTATTGTAATGGAATCCGTAATTCGGGTTCCAGTTCCTCACATGTTGCTGTTGCGACAGTGATTCCCTTAATCCTAACGTTAGCCAGGGATCTCTTAGAGAAAGCTGCCTCGGTGGAGTATTGCGTAAGGAACTTTGTTTTGACTGGGTCTGTGCGTTCGTGTATCCCCCTAATCAGTTGTACGTTCTGCCTGCGTCTAGTCGCCCCAGTCTGTCATGGGACAGGTGTTAGTTCGTGTCTTCCCAGCAGGTAATTGTGTCGTGTTTGAGAACTAGTTCTCTGCTTGTCTGGTCCCGTTCCATCTCTCTCAGTCAGCTGTTATATAAGTCGGTGACTCGTATCTATGGGAGCTGCTTCGTGTCGTGGCTATATATCGTTTAGCGACTCGTTCTGGGCCTTCCCGACTCTGGCCTCCTCGGGGGCAGGGCAAGCCGCATCCACCCAAGCCCTCAGAAAAGGAAAAGAAGTTACGTGAAGTTGATTAGATGCAGAGGGGAAAAGGGAAGGGGGGCAGGGGGGGGGGAGGAGGATCAGGAGTAGGGGTGGGGGGGGGGAGACATGATGGATAGCACGTGTCGGGGTGCGCCGGGTCCTCTCAGACCCCCGGTGTTATGGTGTGTGCTGTGCCTCCCTAGTTCCGGGACGTGAGAGGTATAGATACCATGGGGTCCAGATATCGACGTGTTTGGTGCTTCTTCCTATTAGTTCTGCGTATCGCGCCTCGGCAGTGTGTATTTCCTCAACTCTCTGTAGCCACTCCGTGACGGTCGGTGGTTGGGTCTGTTTCCATTTGACAGGTATAGCTGCTTTCGCTGCGTTAAGCAGGTGCCGTAATATCGATCTCTTGTATTGGGCTATCGAGCCTTCTGTGTAATGCAGTAGGGCCATTTCTATGCTAAAGTCCGGCAGATCTCCTAGAATTATCCTCATTTCCCTTTTTATGTCCTCCCAACAAATGAAGAAAGTTAATGTAAACAAAGCACCAGGGCCTGACAGTGTTCACCCACGAGAACACGAGTACTTAAGGAGCTAATGTGGAAATAAGCAAACCTGTTTTTAATCTTTCAGGATTTTCTTCTCTCATGAATTGTTTTGGTGGCTTAAAGAAAGATAAATGTGGTTCCTATTGTAAAAAAAAAAGTTAAAAAATCTTTGCCTGGAAATTATTGACCTGTGAACCTAACTTCTGTGGCTGAGAGAGTATTTAAAGAGCTATTAAGGGAAAATTTTCAGGAATTCATTGGGAAGAACATTGTTATTAGAAAAAATCAGCATGGTTTCATGAAACATAGGTCATGTCAAACTAACTTAATTGCATTCTTCAAAGAAGGTTGCTGCAGTGGATGTGATAAATGGATTTTAGCAAGGTGTTCAATACAGTTTCCCACAATAGGTTAATGTTCAAACTAAAAGAAATAAAAAGGGGCAACAACATGCAATGTCAATCAACAATTGCTAAGGCCCATTATAAAAAGGGGCAATTTTGCCTCTAAAAAGGGACAATTTTGCCTCTTCATAAATCAATGGTAAGACCACACATTGAATATGGTGTGCAATCATTATTATTATTATTACTATTTTATTATATATATAGCGCCAGCAAATTCCATAGCCCTGTACAATGGATGGACTAACAGACATGTAATTTGGACAAATGGACGCACAGTTTGAGGGCCCTGCTCAATGAGCTTACATGCTAGAGGGAGTGGGCTATAGTGACACAAAGGGTATAAGTAGGGGTAATGAAGTAGGCTAATAGTGTCCTCCATAAGCTTCCTTGCATAAGGCACTGGTCCAGCTGTACTTGATCTGAGAACTGTTCTGGTTTTCCAACAGGGACTTTTTCTTTCTTTTTTTTTCTAAAGAAGGATATTTTTCAATGTTCTAAAAATGGATTTTAAGGCACTAGAAAGGGCAGGCTACACAATTAATAAAAGGAATGGAACATTTTAGTTTTGAACTATTGTCTGGAAATCTGTTAATAAACAGGAGTAGGAAATCTGTTCATAAATCAAGCATTTAGATTGGATAAAATAAGAATCAGTAAAGGAAAGTTTTTTTACAGTAAGAACATTTAGGATGTGGAATTATCTGCATAAATATGTTGTTTTCTCAGAGTCTGTACAGATGTTTAAATAGCAAATGGATGAATAATTGCAAAAACAATATTAGGAATATAATTTTTTTAACATATAATATATAGGGTAACAACTTTTTGATCCAAGAAGAGATCTGCCCATCTGGGGTCGAGAAGGACTTTTTTTCCTAGTTTGTTGTAAAATTGGAAAGCACTTCAAACTGGGTTTGTTACCTTCTTTTGCATAAACAGCTTTGAGAAAGGCTGAACTTGATAGACGCATGTCTCTTTCCAACCTTTGTAACTATGAATCTTACCCTTCTGAATCTCCAAAATTTCTGGGGGAGGTTTTTTCCTCATCCCCCCACTTTCTAAACACATGATATTAGGCATCAGTCATTCTAGCTACCTTAAAATTCTTCAAATTGTTATCAGTTATATTATTGTTGAATCAAAGAAGCCTTGACATTTTTCAACCACCCTTTATCATTATTTCACTGACAAATAATAAGCCACAGCTGTTAGTTCAACATTTATTTTAATAAAAAACTTTGCAATTTGGACTGAAAATAGAAACAATATTTTGCAATGCCCAGATAGTACAGAAATAAAAAATAATGTAATTAGTTTTGAATCATAACATAACGAGATATATATAATACAAACATTGCTATAAAACTAAATATATTTTGTAAGAATATAAACTGCTTTAATGGAAATTTTGAGATGAAACATTGTGTGAAAACAAGTCAAGAAAAAGTTATTTAGCTGTATTCTTGTTCAATACAATAAAAATAAAACCTACCTGCATTAAGTGTGTTGTAAAAATTAACAAAAACACGCATAAAAAGGCACAGAAATGTATTTACCAGTTCTCTACTTTATATTTCTAAATTTTCTGTATTATTGTGATGTATGGTCAATCAGTGAAGTGATTTGTAAATAGACCGTATGGTATTTACTGTACATTTAGTTAGTAATCTGCTAAAAACATCACAGGAATTACTAACTAGCAACAAATATGTTTTATTTAACATCAGATCGTTTCTGCAATGCAAAAACTATATGATGGTTTTATTATGGATTGTTTCATTCATTGGCTCCTCTTTTAAGGGACACTGAATTCACCAAATAACTTCAGCTTAATGAAGCAGTTTTAGTGTATAGATGATGCCTCTGAAGTTTCACTGCTCAATAACTTCTGTTTCTCTTTATGTAGCCCTAGTCAAAATGTGACTGACACAGCCTGCATGAAAACAAAATGGTTTCATTTTCAATCAGATGTAACTTTCTTTAAAAGTTTTTATCTCCTGCTCTGCAACTTGAACTTTAATCACACACAGGGTTCTCCTGTAGGGTATAGCAATCTATTAACAGAGCAGAACATAATCCATTTTAAATTGAACATAATTTGCAATAAAGTCAGTACAAACATTAGATGACTCTTTATAGGAAGTTTTTAGGGAGACTATAGAAGTCACGTGCAGGGAAAGCCACAGGTGCCAAATTAATTCCATGAGCATCCTGTTCAAAAAACCCTGAGTTAGACATTTGGAAACATTATGACAAAAGTAGATAAAGCCTTGTCCAGTTTAGAGTTAGGAAGCAAATGGGCAGACAGGGGAACTTTCATTATTACTCATTTAACTTTTCTAACTGCAAATACCAACATTCATTGTGCTGTCTTCACACTACAATCCCTAAAAATAGCATGATTGAATAGAATGTCCTTTTATTTAGGCTTGACAGCTCTGTGCAGCCCCATGCTCTAGGATCACTGTGCTGGCATAGACCGTCATAGTTCATTAATAGGGTTAATGTAGCACAGGGTCCTATGAAAGTTAGAAAATGAAGGTCCCTCTCACTGTTCAGATTCTAAACTTAAAGGGATACTATCGGCACCCAGGCCACTTCATCTAATTGACGTGGGCTGGATGCAGTGTCCTTGTCCCCTTAACCCTGCAATATAAAACAGCAGTTTTAGAGAAACTGCAATGTGTATATTGCAGGGCCAAAACTGCCCTTAGTGGCTATCTCCCAGACATCCTCCCTCCACTCCCACCACTCTACTTTAATACACTGCCTCCCCCCCCCCAATTTAACACACTGACCCCCACCACTCAAATACACTGGCCCCCTCCCTACCTCAAATAAATACACTGCCCTCTCTCCCCCAATTTACTACAATGACCCCCTGACTTCCCCAAATTAATACACTGCCACCACTCCTCAATTTAATACACTGACCCCCTCCCTCCCCTAGGTTAATACACTGCCCCTTCCCTCTCTTAAAGTAATACACTATACCTGTATTGCTGGTCGCAGCCACAGCTGAAGCGGCCCCAGGGCAGGCGGGCCACAAATATGTTCATGTTTAACATGCTTGCCCTACAGTGTTCCTTTAAAGGGACACTATAGTCACCAGAACAACTACAGCTTAATGTAGTTGCCCTAGTTAATATAATCATTATATACAGGCATTTTCATGAAAAAAGGGAATGTTTACATTGCCCTCTCTCCCAGTGGCCTCCAAGTGGCCACTCCTCAGATGGCCACCGGAGGTGCTTCCTTGCCCAGTGCTGTACAGTTGGCAGCTCTGCTGTTCAGCGTCCCCATGCAGAGAATTTTCCTCATAGAGATGCATTGATTGAACCTCTATGAGGAGGTACTGATTGGCCAAAACGTGCCAATTTTAGCCAATCCAATGCTTTCCCATGGGCAAAAATTGGTAAATCTTATGATGTCACCAAGGGGGCGGGGCCAGTACCGGCAGACCCGAACAGTGCTGGAAATAGGGTGAGTTTTTCATGCTTTTAAGGGGGCTGGGGAGGGGAGGAGGGCAAGCTGCCTTAATGGTGGGTTTTGCACTATAGTGTCAGGAATATATGTTTGTGTTCCTGACCCTAAAGTGTTCCTTTGAGGTGTCTGATTGGCTAGCAGGATGTAGAGATTTCCCCATCCTATTGTTCAGTGTAAGATCCAATACATTCCATGGATCCTAGGCAGTTACTTACATTGTTCTAATGTGGGGATCTCAAACTCTGGCACCCCATATGTTGGTGGCCTACAACTCCCAGAATTCTTTGAATGTAATTGACGTAGGAGAAGCATGGAATTTGTAATTCAGAGACATATTGGGAGCCAGAGTTAAGATGCCTACCCTAATTGCTAAATATTACAAGTTCACCATCCTCTTCTTCTCCTTTTGAAAGGTTGTTGCTATAGGTCAAGCATTTCTACTATGTATTTTAAGGTTGGCAAGTGCTATTTTATATGCTTAATTTTGGTAAGCTTAGAGAGCAAAGTTGTTGGTATAACTGGCAACTATCAACACAGGTTGCATTTCAGTAATTTGAGGGGGTTCTCATCTTGGTAACAGAGATGCAATACGTATCCTGAGTATACCTTTCATCATCAATTTAACAAAATGGTCAAAACAGGGACGCATGTAACAGCTTACAAACACAACCTGGCAGCACAAAGCACTCAAAATCAACCACGATTGTTACATTTATCAACTATAAAGCTGTGTGGAAAGTTTAGAAAAATAGAAAAAAAGCCCTGCTGCTCTAAGTATTTACACACTTTAAATCAATTCTCTCTGTGATAACATACTATTTTAATATGTTCATCAATTAGATAGTAGAAAGGTGTTAATTAAAATATCAAGTGAGATAGGACATAGTTGAAATTAATTTGAAATTGAATACCATAGATCTTCAGTGTACATGGTATATATAGATTAATGTGCTTCAAAAAAGAAAACATAAATAAGAGTGATGTACTGCAGGTATGCATTTTTTTTTTTACTTATTCCAGTGTTGTGTTAGTGGACCAATCTTTAAAATGGGTATGGTCCAACTATTATTGTTAATCGCAGTATGGAACTTGAACGGTAGTTCATTACACTGTTGACAGTCACCATTTCCAGGTCAACAAAGTGTTCTCTTGGTCCTGTTAAAGGTTTTATCAGAACAAGCATAGCGCTGAGTCCACTTGTTTGCTGAAAAAAATAAGAATAATCTATCACATAAATGAGGTCAGACCAACCAGAAAGTAATAAATATGTCAAGAACCATACAGAAAATCTGTTCTTTTATACAAGTAGTTGAGCAAACTTCAATTACATCTGCTACCAGGATACTAGATACTAAAACTGTTACCTTTGACTCCTAACAAAATCAATTGATTAAGCATGTATCTTCCACTACCAGCACCATTACAAGAAAAAGGCTAAATTACTCACCCTTAAATAGAAATCTCCATTCTCATTTCCAGACTTAATCCTAAATGTGTTGATTGTATTAGCATAGATTATGGTGGCCTGAATTTGAAACACATCAGAAGGAACTGCTCTGTTGGACCTGATGCTCATATATTTGTAGACGATACTATATGGTTGATCACGACAAAGAGGATTTGTAGAATGGCAGACACAGCGACTGTAAAGAAAAATATTTGGTAATTAACAATAAGTGACAATATGGATAGCATATGATAGATTTGGTAATGCCTCTAAACAAGAGATAAATTAATTTAATAGACACATTAATAAAAATTAAGTAGCTCCAACAAAATAGACAATTTTTTATAGTTCACTCTATGACAGTTTCCAGGGGCCACTCAACAGTTAGCTAGATGTATGGATAATATTTTGTACAAGCTATGCCAAAGTTAGGTGGGAAATAGAAGATTCACAGAGCACAGGTATTCCAGGAATATTTAGGCTTTATCTACAAGATAAATATGTTAAACTCAGAACAAAGGTGGTGTCTGCATTTCTTAAAAATTGTGCTGCTGTTCAAGGTTAGCAGTAAAGAAACTCTGAGCATGTATTTGCTCAGTTATTGTGAATCCACGTATTTAAGCTCTGTGGGGAAACTAACCTCGCCACTGGGTTATGGAGAAGCTTGGTTGCCAGCCTCCTGCCTCATGACTATGGCCCCTCTCATCAGCCCATGCTAGACTTAACCCCATGGAGATTTTGTTCTGTTTGTGGAATTTGAGCGCTGTTCGGATATATTGAGCGCTCAGATCCAAGCTATCTGGGGATAGGTTGAATGTGGGGGTTCTGTTCAGTGTAATGGTAATTATTTATTTTTGTGTATTTTTACTGTTGTTGTGAATAGAGCTATTTTCTGTATGCTAGGGATAATTGGCTTACCACACCCAAGCCATGCTTGCAGGTGGTCACAAAGGGACTTCCCACTATATGACGTATGTTTGTACTTGGAGTATGCTGATTCTGAAAATTGAAGTTTTGTGTGAATGTGATGTATAAAGCAACCCTGACAGCAGCAGGATGGAACCAGACATTATATACGAGGAGGAGGACCTGGATGGCCGGGATGAATTAAGAAAGGCATCTGGTACCAGGCCCTGGATAATGTACAGTACCAGCGGGGCGAGAGTCTCCCCAGTGAAGAGCAGCGATTGCAGATGCGATTGGCACTGCGGATGCCCTTCCTGGGAGAGCAGCCCCTGGAGCAATGGCTAAAGGAGCTCGAGCACCGGGTATGGCTGGAGCTATGGCTAGAGGATGCCTACCAGGCACTCTGGTGGTATACGGTTCAGTATACACCCTGGACAGTGGAGCACGATAACCCGGAGGGAGAGGAGTTTAATGGCCCTGGCTTGCTGTGGGAGGCATTCACAGAACCTGACTTTGGGAGCCCTGAAGAGACCCGATTCGATTATATCTTTGACTGGAGGGAAGGTATGCAAGACTGGGATGACCCCCACGAAATGGGACCAGACTTGGTACACCTCGCAACCCTGGAGTGGGAACTGGAGCAGGATTACAAACATCTGTTCCGCTCCATCGAGGATACCCAGCAGGAGAGCATCGTGGCAAACCCAGGTCCAGAGCCCTTCAGCTGGGAGGATATTGTCGAGGTGTACTGGGAAGACCTCCAGCCGGCCAGTAGAGATGGAACCGAGGTCTCTCCACTGGCCCCGCAAGGAGAGGAGAGCAGCGTCCTCCCTCCCCAGTGGCAGGATGAGCTACAGGGATGCTGGGCGGTCAGCCCAGATCCCCAGCGGCAGATTGATTTGCAGGTGAATAGATAGCAACGTCTCCTTTCCCCAGCGGCAGTGTGAATTGCAGGGAATAGAGAGCCTTGTCTCCTTTCCCCAGCGGCAGTGTGAATTGCAGGGAATAAAGAGCCTCGTCTCCTTTCCCCAGCGGCAGTGTACCTTGCAGGGAGAGGAGAGCAGCGTCCTCCCTCCCCAGCGGCAGGGTGAGCTACAGGGGGCAAGGACAGTCGGTTCTGCTCCCCAACAGCAGTGTGTTTTACAGGGAGAGGAGAGCCTTGTCCTCCCTCCCCAGTGGCAGAGTGAAGTGCAGGGAGTGGAGAACATCGTCTCCCCTCCCCAGCGGCAGTATCCCTTGCAGGGAGAGGAGAGCCCCGTCTCCCCTCCCCAGTGGCAGAGTGTCCTACAGGGAGCAGAGACAGTCAGTCTCTCTCCCCAGCAGCAGGACAATTTATTGGGAGTGGAGACAGTCGGTCTCCCTCTCCAACAGCAGAGAGAGTGTCAGGGAGAGGAGCCTGTTACCCCTTCTTCCCAGCGGCAGTGTCTTATACTGAGAGAGGAGAGCCTCATCCTCCCTCCCCAGAGGAAGCTTAGCCCACAAAGGTGAGACAATAAGCTCCCCACTGGTGCAGATGGGACCTTGGTCTCTGTGCCCAAACTACAGGGATTAGGGACAGTCGGTCCTGCTCCCCAGCAGCCGTGTGTTCTCCAGGGAGAGGAGAGCAGCGTCCTTCCTCCCCAGTGGCAGCTCAGCCCACCAAGGGGCTGAGCTGCCACTAAGCTCCCCACCGGCGCAGATGGGACCGTGGTCTCTGTGCCCCAACTACAGGGAGTAAGGACAGTCGGTCCTGCTCCCCAGCGGCAGTGTGTTCTACTGGGAGAGGAGAGCCTCTTCCTCCCTCCCCAGTGGCAGCTTATCCCACCAAGTGGAGATACTGAGCTCCCGGATGGTACAGATGGAACCGTGGTCTCTGTACCTGACCCACAGGGATGTTGGACGGCCTGTCCAGATCCCTAGACAAGCCCCAACCAGGCTACTCCAGCTGCAGCCCTGGCACCAGT